TAGTCCAACCCCCTGCAATGCAGGAATCTTTTACCCAACATGGGGCTTGAACCCACAACCCTTAAGATTAAGAATCTCATGCTCTACTGACTGAGTTATCTTGGAGAGTAGGAGTAGCTGAGTGTGAACCGGTAGCCTGTAGACACTGGAGATAAATTGCAGATATATTTTGATCCCAAACTGAGGTCTGGCATCGCAATTGGAACAGGAAGCTGTTCTTGCCGTAAGCTAGTTAAATGGATTAGGAGGTGGGAATTGTATTTTTTGTACATTATTCTTTTAAGAAGAACTGCAAGAATGGGAAATCTATTGGCAATCTATGGCAATTATGCCAAAAGGCTCTTCTAGTGATATATCTGCTTGTTAAATGTGAAGCATGCATATTGAGCAAAGGTAATAATCTGATTTTTACCCACAATAGCATTACAACATCAAACACCTATATCCTGAATCTAATACATTACAGAGGAAATAAGAGAGGTCCATTTCCCGACTGCCAATTTGATGTTATTGTAATTGATTTCTTTTAACTTTACTGGAGATGCCACTAAGGTACATAATTCACAGATATATGGAAAGTAGAAATAATAACTATATCGATGTCTTGGTGTAAACTTTTTATGGCATCTAGGAACATAGAGAAGTATTCATTTTATGTGACTGCCTGACTACAAGTTGCACTGATAGCAGGAATCAAATATCCATAGCACAAAGCGGACACAATTTGGTGATATTTTAATATGAATACCCATTGGAAGTATTCCACAGAAATATAGAATGGTAGGTATAAATTGCCTCTTTAAAGTACAGGGTGAATAAATAATACCCTCAAAATAAGTTAGTACAAGTGTTAGCAGAATGCAATGCAATAAAGTATAGTAGCTGCATTTTAAGATCTCAAGCCCCCATCTGCACTCAGACATATCTAAGAAATGTGCTCAAATTTATTGCCTTCTTGGGGAAAGTATTAGCATACTAAGAAGAAATATAAAATCTCATAGAAATTCAAGTTGAGAACACTTAACAGCTAAAACTAACACTAACACCCCAGCTTAACTGCCATGGATGAAAGTAAGGGTCACTATTTATATAATATATGAATTGACCCAGGGTCCATGAGATTTCCTTTCATCCATTAGAAATAATTCCCACTAAGAAACCATCTGTAGTTGCTGTTATGGCACGGGCAGTGTTTGCAATAGAAGTGGATATCCATTCTGAATTTTTGCTGGAACGTGAAAGACTGGGTTTGGTCCAAAGCTTTCCTGCTTATCCTGACATTGTTGACCCCCCTCCCTCCCCCCCTCCATCATAAACAGAACAGGAAGAAGGCCCCAGAATTCTGGGCCTACCTGTGTGTGACATGGTGCTGCGATAAGCATGCGGTGTAACTCTGTTCACGGGCGGAAGGGACAAGGATTCTAATCAGGCAGGCCGCAGCGCTTTCATTCCTTTGGTAAAGCAAAGGCACCTCAAGCCAAATCTGAAAGTGACTGTGACTGATAGCAGTGGCTCAAAGACTCCATTTATAGAGCAGGATTATTATGATGATTAGTGCAAGTGGACATGGATAACCCTCTTTCTGCCTCTGTGACACATCTCTGGATGATCTCCCCTTTAAATCTGTCTTCGGCTTGCTGTGTAGGAGGAAAAATAGAAAATCAGACATCTGTGTTCCTGATAGGCAGAGCCCCATCATATATATATATACATGTAGACTTTAGAACCTTCTGCAAAGCATTTCCCCTGCCAGTTATTTGGGTTAATGTGAGTGGCGAAGGAATGACGATTCAAGAAATGGACATTTTAGAATGGGGAGGTGGGGGGGAGCAGGGGTGGCTGAGTTTGTTTGGTCTACAGAAAAGTAGGTCACTAGAAGATCTTCTCTTTCTGAAAATCAAATACGATGGGAGAACACCCAATTATCCCCATCACTGGGGATCCTGTGCATATATCCAAATACTGTATTTCCATTCCATTTCTGAAAGAGGCCTCTATTAGGAGGTGCTGCCAGTTGCTATTGAAATGGGAACTCTCTCCAATCCCTCCTCCCCCTTAGCTTAGCTTTTTGGGAGTTTGTCTCAGGATTGCTGGGATATGAAGATATCCTTGTGTTCTCTGTGCCTCCTTTTATTATGGCAGTCTGTAGCGCATGAGTGAATATATGTGCAGTGAGGAAGAGGATTGTAGCAGAAATTCCATCTCTACTTTCAAAAGTGTGAAGGCTTCGTGTATTGATAGAGAGGGAGAGACGGACTCTCATGTTCCATATACAGTGGTACCTTGGGTTACAGACGCTTCAGGTTACAGACTCTGCTAACCCAGAAACAGTACCTCGGGTTAAGAACTTTGCTTCAGGATGAGAACAGAAATCACACGGTGGCAGCGGGAGGCCCCATTAGCTAAAGTGGCATCTCAGGTTAAGAACGGGCCTCCAGAACAAATTAAGTTCTTAACCCGAGGTACCACTGTACCTCTTTATGTGAATATTCTAACCAAAGATGCAATAATACAGTGGATATTTTAGAACAGGCTTGCCTCCTGGATGGCTAATTTGTAACTGTGGAGCCAGTGCTTAAGCACAGCACTTAAGCCGGCCTTCTCTAACCTGGCAAGTGCTTTGTTGTGCTATCAGCCCCTGCTAGTATGTTCCACAGGCAGGGATGAATGGAGTTGGAGAGGACTAGGTCTTAAGTTGACGCCATCAAGTTGTCAGTGGCATTTGCTGTGTAGCACGGAATGAAACTTTTGCTTTTGCAATGGAAAAGCTTGGTGCTATCACTGTATCACACTATCAGATCACTGGCAGGGAACAGCAGCGGAGATGAGCTTCATAAGCTTTGCAATATTCCCCCAGGGCCAATTCAGGTAAACAGATCACTTGGTAATAATCCCATCATGTGCCAGCTTTCTCTATCAATGACCATGGCCTGCGTATGACAAAGAGGTCTTCCCTGTAGAGATGTGGGCAGTTACTAAGGAAAGCAAGAGACCTGTCTAAGAACAGACCCATTTTTTTTAAATTTTTTTTGCTACTGAGACAGCTGCATTAGGCCTTTTGTTTTCCTTTTTCAGTCTCAATTTAAAAATCTGCATACATTTAAATAATTGAAAAGTGTGTTTACATTTAATGCAATTAACATGTTGCGTTAATTCTTTTTCCCTGTGGGAAAGTTTGCATCTCTGTTTGGTAATGAGTTTGCCACCATGAGTCTGCACCACAGCCAGCGAAGGCCTAGGAAGATTATTCTGGTTCTGAGATGTGTTTGTTAGTGAAGTGGGAGGTTTTGCAGAGGAAAAGCCTATGTGCCTCAATTCCACCCTCAGCCTGTCTCCTCCACTGTTCCCCACTTTACACAGTGCTGATTGCTGCATAGTGGGAGAGGGTTTTTCTTATGAAAAGTTCAATATATATATTTTGTTAACTTTGCTGCATTAAGTGTGCATTTTGTAGCTGATTTCCTTTGTAATGCTTTACTTTTAAATTGGTAAGATAATATTTTTGTTTCTTGTTAATTATATAGCTTGGAATATTAACTTTATATTTGACTTTCTCCAGTAATGTTTTATTCTGGATTGTTTTATTTCATGTTTTAACATAGTTTGTAAACCCCTTTGAACTTTTTTCTTAAAAACATAAAGCTGTATAGAAATAATAATAATAATAATAATAATAATAATAATAATAATAATAATGGAAATAACTATGCACTCATATCCAGATTGTATTGACCACTGAAGCATACAACTATCCTTTCTACATCAGTAAAACCTAGAACAAATCAAATCTTGATGTAATCCTTAAACTGCTGACAGCTGTTTTTTAATAGTGTTTTGTAAAGCCCATGTGCACATCATCAATACAGAGAAAGGGAGAGGGGGACATCCCAAGAGAGGACCAAAGGAACTGAAATCTGTGGCAAACTGTGCAGTTTGCAAATTTTGAAAAAGCAACAGTGGGACAAAGGAGAACCCGGACTGCATTGGCTTCACTTCAGAAATAAGATAATATAATCCAGAATCTTGAGAGAAATTTAGACTGGCAAAATTTCCAAAGCATTTCTAGTTTATGAAGAACACTTGGCAATGCAGAGCAAAACCAGGTGAAAGCACTTAGCCCAGAACTAGTGTTGGGGCTCCCATTGCTTTGAACCGAAAGCTTCACTCTCCTGCTTGCATCCGTGACTGTATCCCCTCAGTAGTGAGCGTTGAGGCTCCGTTTGGTTTCTTCCACTTGTAAATGTGTTTGTCCTCAAGCCTCCCTTGCAGACACTCACGCACAATTATGTATCCTTGCTGGGTGACACACAACATGAAATGACTCTTAAACATATTAGCCCCAAACTGCTGTTGTAAATGCTGCAGGCCATAGCGAGATGTGGAAAACAAAGCAAAGACTCAAGCCATATAATAATTTGCGTTCAGTAGAGGTGGAAATTGAGAGTATTCTTCAAGTCCAGAAAGGAGAGGTTGCTAGCAAATTATAGGAGAGGGGGACAGCATATGGAGACCATTTTGGTTCAGTTTTTAAGTGAATGCAATATTTGATGTTTGAATTTGTCCTTGGAAAATTACAGTTTATTAGAGGGAAGTGCAGTTCGCTACAGAAATAAAACAGTTGTTGGCTTTCTTCCAATCTTCCTTTTTAAAAACATACAGACAACAAAATATGTCGTCTCTGGATTCTTCTGTAAGGATGTTTTCTCATTTCATGTCAGAGCATTTCACCAAATATAACCTGCAACAAAGAATGGAGATCAGAGGGATAAGATGCAGATACATAGACTTCAAGGGTGACAACAATGACTTCCAGTGTTTCTGTGCTTGTTTGTTTCATGTTGATTTTAGAGCAGGCAGTGGCAGCTAGGGGGTGGGAGAATGATTAAAAAATGGAAGAGGAGAAAACAAGAATTTAATATTCTTAAATATTAAGTATGGTGAATAAAACCACAGAGCCGAGTTTCTTGCAAACTGTGTCGTAACCATATTTCTCCTTGTAGCACTCCGACTCCAACTGCAACTTGAAGAAACGAGTCAACTCTATGACATCTCAAACAGATCAGTCCCTTGAAACAAGCATGTTGTCCAATAGTGCATCTCAAAGTCAACAGACATCTGTTACTACGCCGCCGCCACCACCGCCACCACCACTAATTGGAGGCACGAGTAAAATAGATCAGTACTCCAGGATCCTCTTTCCAGTGGCATTTGCAGGATTCAACCTGGTATACTGGGTGGTTTACCTTTCAAAGGACACTATGGAAGTGAGTAGCAGTATTCTCCAGCAATATGAAACCTGAATCTGTACTGAGCTGAATTTAACACTAAAGGAGAAGTTTTTGAATGAATAGATATACCATGGGCCCACCACATACAAGTACTGAAAGAGTTTGGTTCCAGGGGTCCATGCCCAAAGGCCAAAATGCACAAAGTCAGGAACCCCTGGAACTGCCTCCACAAAGTGGACTGCTGCTTACTGTGATCTGAGAAGGTCACGGGAGGCCCCTGAGAGCTTCCCAGAGCCCTCCCTCGACCTTCCAAGACCCCAGTAAGTGAGGAGGTGCCTTCGTTACCAGTCTCTGGGACACTTCCAGAGCCCTCGCACCTCCTTCCCAAAGCCTGGTCAGCAAGGAAAACCTGCTGGGTGGATGGAATTACTGGTAAATAAATGGGAAGTGGAGAACTTTGTCTTGCAGGCTTACTGTAGTTGGTATCTTAAAGTCATGGTCAAGGCCATGACCAAAAGGGATTTACTTTTCATTTTGACAGAGGAAAAAATCAATTCATGAAAAGGGAAGGTGCAAGCATGGATTTTCTTTTTCTATTAAAGTGACTGGGCAAGCTGGCTCCTGCAGGAGTTCCTTCTGCACAGTGCGGTGTATACACAGTGAGAGAGAAAGAGAGACAGACAGACAGACAGACAGACAGCGCTAGAGAATATAGCTTGACTCCTAAGATAAGAAAGTTTCACATTCCTTCTCTCCTGCAACACCCCTGCCAGCCTCTCTATAGGGTCTGGGGCCTCTCCTGAACAATGGGGCATGGGGTGGGGTTGTAGGCCAGGGATGGGATACAGAACTTTCCTTCTGTAAACTCCCTCAAGTTAACTTTTCTTTAGGATCCAAGCCAATATGTTTATTTTGTATTTGTTTGTTAAATTTGTATCTTGCCTTTCCACCAAACAGTACTTAAAAGTGGCTAATGATGGCAATACAAATGCAATGGTTGTTCAGAAGTTAAAGCCAGATGAACACCTGGTGGTTTGCTTTGGGAGTCACCAGCTAATCTGACCAGGAAACGGGGTGAATCAGGGTAATCAATGTAGAGTCCTTCAGATGTTGTTGGGTCTCCAAACTTCCATCCAGGCAAGATGGCCAGTGGTCAATATTGATTGGGGCTGTAGCACAGCAACATCTACAGTGCATCATATTGGCTGCCCCTAGGATGGATAGAACAGTCTGCTGCCTTGAACCCTCATATGATTACCATCACCTATGAACTTGCTGATGTCACTTGACTCTTCATATGTGATAATAAAAGCATTAGGAAGCATCCAGTTATATTTGAAAACAGCCTACAAGCTCCACACCCCTGTTCACAAGGAATAAATAATAATAATACCTGGCAATGTAATATTATAATATATTTGGTTCATATGGGGTGGGCATTTTAAAACTGAAAATCTACTTACAGTGAAATTATCTAGGAAGCTAAATCATGTTTCCCCACAAACAGGAATAGCGACTCCTGGGGAAATAAGTTGCTTCCTAACTGTATGGTGGTAGCCTAGATCTTCAGGCACAGTAAAAGAATTCCATTTGAGGAGTAATTGCTTGGTTGTGTGGTTTAAAAATCCCACATAGTGTTTCTTCAAGTGTAATTTATCTGGGGCAAAGTGACAAATTCAAAACACAATCTCCAAGGTAAAATTATAAGCGGAGGTATTTAGACTACAACACTTTGTGAAAGTCAGGTTTTGCTGCCATGGGGAAATATGGGTTTACCACTGAAATGCTGACAGATGTTTAATTACAGAAGCATGCCTGGTGATGTTTATAATTTGCAAAATCAAAGTATTAATATCATTGTTTTAAGAGGACAGACATCCCCTTCTACGCAAGATCAATTTGCAATTAATTTAGATGGAATGTTGCAGTACACAGCTTCTCTATCATACGCACATGACTTTGGATGAATGCCATATATTTCATAGTTTATCTAATGCAAACACACACTTCTGGTAATCACAGTGGGATTTACCACTCTGCAAACTAGCACAGACAGTCACAAGCCAAATACAGAGATTGATGGAGTACGGATTTTCCTTTCCATTCCATTAAAGAAGCTGCCTGTGTGAATGTAGAATTAGGGACAAAAGAACATTAATTTTTGGAAATGCCACAAATAGATTCTCTCACTCCAAGAAGATTTGCTACAAAAAAATGTGGACCTAAAATAAAAAAGTTTATAAACATTTTTTTAAATAGACAAATGAATATTTTAGTCTTCAAGCCACCACTCATCCAGGTCTTTAGCTGAGCTTTCAGGATGCCAGGGAATTTCACTATCAGAATGTTTATCAACAGCACAGTTTCTGAGAGAAAAGCATAAGATCTTTTTTTTTTTTTTGCTGAAGATAAACGTCACACTGTAACTGTATGCTTTGTTGGGCGGGAGAGGGAGGAGTCCAGGGAGATTGCAGCCCCAGAGCTGCAATCTGGGGGCTGAGTGGAAAGAGGAATTCAAGAGCAGACAGAAGGGTCAGAAAAGGAAAAATGAAAGATAGGATGGGTAAAAGAGTAAACAGGCTAGATAAAGGATGGTTTGAGAGAACAGGAAGTTATGAGTACAAGGAAAAGTGGGGGGAGAGGGAAAGCCTTACAATGAGGAGGAAGAATATATTATTTAATGTGATGAAAAGAAAATGAAATTAAGCTGGGGGGGGGAGGTCATGGACCCTGTTGACCAGGAAATCCCATGACACAGGAATAGTAGGAAGTTGGGTTTTACACTGTTATTTGAAACAACCAGCCAAAGAGCATTATTAAGTATAAAGTATAAGTATACCTACGGTATATTGTCTAATTTGCAATGATAATGAAATATCCACTGGGAGGAACGCAGAGAGAAGAAACTACATGGTGCATCTGCAGCAGCACAACTGGACATCTTCATCTGCCCTAGCTGCAACAAAACATGTCTCTCCCACATCGGTCGCTACAGCCACAGCAGGCTCTGCAACCTCCCAACAGCTTGACTTCACCCCCAAAGGCACGCTCCTCCATTTTCTTCCGAGGAAGACGGATGCCAGCATAATGACAATGGAACATATACATTGGTACCTCTGGTTACAAACTTAATTTGTTCTGGAGGTCCATTCTTAACCTGAAACTGTTCTTAACCTGAGGTACTACTTTAGCTAATGGGTCTCCTGCTGCCGCCCCATCGCCCCCGCATGATTTCTTTTCTCATCCTGAGGTAAAGTTCTTAACCCGAGGTACTACTTCTGGGTTAGCGGAGTCTGTAACCTAAAGTGTTTGTAATCTAAGGTGTTTGTAACCTGAGGTACCACGGTACTTGTTTGCTCTTTGTTTCAAAAAGATGAAAAATAAAATAAAAAGTTGTGTGTTATAAACAAGGTGGAGAACTGGATCTGACTGATGGGCTGGATTCTTGTCTCCCCCACCCCTAATGGGCCATGTTTGACAGGTTGGTGGGGTTGCTCACCTGACATCACAGTGACGTCAGGTGACCCATTTCCCCCATGTGCTTTGAAAACAAGGCATGTGGACAATGGCACAGTTCTTAAAACTTTTAAGCATGAACTTCAGAATTATTCACATGTAAGCCTTTATCGAGCTACATTTCAGTTACTAGGCAGGTGGGAGGGGAATGTGTAGAAAAGAAATAGCTAGAGAGTCATTGCCATGCACACTTCGTATTGGGCCTTATTGAGTCACGTCAGCTACGATTCTTCCATACAATAAGTTGCTGATTTAGGTCTTCTGAGACAAATGAAAATCAATAGCACCTGTGTTGCTGATTGACTGCCCTGTAGGGAGTATTTTACTGAATTTTCCTTTGACTCTTTTCTTTCAGTTTTTTGAACCTACTGCCATGCATCTTCGAAATGACCATCAAACCAACTGATGGCTGCAAACTCAGGTGTGACAAAGGACCAAAAGACTAAGTGACTGGTTCTAAAGACAATTGTGGGGCTCTGGTCACTGAATGTAAAATACTTCAGTGTTTGAAGACATCACTATGAACTCTTGGCACACAGACGGCACAATCCATGTAAAGTATGTACCCCATGGAGGGTGATCACTGGAACAAGTCCTTCTATTGATTCCCTACGTGTTTTAGCTCGTTTGCTAAATAGCTCAGGGCTGAAGCTTGGGCTTAATTATTTACTTATGCTCAAATTCTTGCTCCCTACAAGGTGCTGTTCTAGGCCATGTATCAAATTGCATAGCATGGTGGTGGAATAATACTGGCACAAAAATCAGGGTGAGAGGCTGCCACTTAACCAAAAAATTCAGATCAGCCCACTTGTAATTAAGCTGACCTATAACCTGATTCTATGAGCACTTACTCATGAGTAAGTCCTGCAGAATTTAGTGAGGCTTACTCCCTGGTAAATGTGCATAGGACTGGTAAATGTGCATAGGACTGCAGCCTTTGTCCTACTAAGTTAAATGGGAAAACATGAGCTAATGCTGTATTTAAATATTCCAGGGACAGTAGCATTTTGTAACAAAGCAAACCAGACTCAGAATAACACCTTAACATCCTTTATGTACCCTGCTTAAGTCAAGGTCTTTTAGATTTTTTTAAGGTGATGTATAACTTTTGATAAATGAATAAATGAAATTCATACAAGAGCAGGATCTGCAAGCATCCGTTCATGCACAACTTGGGGCCAGATGCAACTAAGCTGATGTGCTGGTGGAAGCCAATGCACAAAGACTTTCCTTCGTGCAACCCCTGCACTCTCCAAGTTTTAGAATGCAGGTGGGATAAAAAAAATTAACCACTGGGAACATTTTCCTGGGAGAATCTGGGCAGGGTAAGGGTGAAACACTCTTTATGTTCTCTTCCATAAAAATGTGCCATCAAACCTCACATGAATGTTATGAAGCAGGGGGCTGGGTTTTTCTGGTGCTTATGCTGGTCTTTCAGTTCCTTCTAGTAGCAGGGCAAGATAGGCTGCAAAGTGAGGTTCTGGGTAGGAGAGATCAGGGGGAGGAATCTATATCTGAACGATCTGAAAAGACTTTTAAAGAGTTGACCTTAACAAAGAGGCAACACTGCCAATGGGGCTCTGCTTCAGGCAGCCAAATGTGCTGGGCTGAAAGGGGTGGGTTGTTTCTCCCTTTTCAGATTTTACTCCTCTTCAACTCCAGTTTAAGCAAGAAGCTTTCTAGAACTCAATCCAGAACTGAAGCATGCACATTGTTTTTGGGTCTTCCAGCTCACTTGAACCTTTTCCCCCTTACGCAACACCCACATCTTTGGGGGCAATGTTGCATTGAAGTGCACATGTGCTCCTGCACATTAGTAAAACACTACATTAAAAAAGGATCTTGATACACCAACATATGCCGTCACATAAAGGTTGGAGTTTTTTTTACATAATGTGCATTTGACAAAACAACACAAAAAAAGATTCTTGATGCAATCATGAATATGTCTGCCTCAAGATGGGTAAAGCACAGCCTTTGCAGATCAGTAACACACAAGGAGATCCCTTGTAATGTTTAGTCCTGCCATCTGTAATGTCTAGAGCCATCTAGTCTGGAGAAATAAACACAGTGAAGTTCCCATGCTTCACCTCAAGTGAGCTGTAGATTAAGATGCATGCTATTGCTAATGGGAAAGTTATAATTCTACTGAGATTAATGAAATTGTTGATAAACACCAGGTGAGAATTTGGCTTAGAACTAGCAAAAGATTAATATATATATATATTTTAAAGATGAATGCTGCACATTTCATTCTGCTATGCATTTTCATCCTACTGTATGCATTCCCCCCCCCCCCGATTAATTTTTTTAAGAAGAAAGATCTACAATTATGATTGTGTAAATTGCTTGAAAGAAGCTGAACCATTCATTGTTGGCATTCTCTGTTCAGTTGCATCTGTATTTTTCGTGTGTTTTTATATAACATACAAAGTATTGCCAACAAGTTTAGTGGCTCCCTTTTATTTTATCTGGAGGTATTCCAGTCTGTTGTAACACTTTTATAACACACATTTTTGGGACATGCTTCTGAGATTTTATGATCCTGAATGTAATGGGAGAAAACTTTGCTAACCAAATTGTTTCAGCTCGTTTTCCTTCCAGTGAATGCTAGTTTGGGAGTCCGTAGCGTGACAAATGGCACAATGTACTCTATGTACTCTATATTCTGTTCAAAGCACTGTGTGGTTAAAGGCTTTTTAGTACAGTACAGGAAATGACGGAAGAGAAACTGCAAGTGATTCTCACCTCTTCCTTTTACAGTTCTGCTGCTACATGCAAAGGGAGGGAGGGCTCTCATATCCCAACCCCCAAGGGAATGCACATGCTGCACTATTGTACATTACAGTAGAAGAATTTTAAAAGGAATCATCTCTTATTTTATTTTACTATTGTTAGTAAAAAGTCACTTTGGAAAATGAATCTAATTTAACAACTGTAATGTATATATATTATATGTACATCTGTAAATATTCAATCACAGTTTTAAAATAGTGTGATATAGCTTGTTACAATAAAATATAACTAAGGATATATTACATTTGGGGGGGAGGTGAATGAGAATGAATGTATTTATTTCTGTATTTTGTCATAATAATTAAAAATAGAAGAAAATAAAGCTCTGACAGCAGTACAAAAGACTAAATAAAAATCGTGAGCATTTTTAATGTACCCAATTATAGATAACACATGAATTCCCTACTTTTATGTACAAAACCTGCATGACAACCCTATAGTTTTACCAATGGAAAGCATAACTGAAACATTATACACGGCACACTTTATGGTACCGGTCATAATAATAATTTATTATATATTATAATAATATATGTGTAGGCTTCATTTGTATAATTGGAGAATCTCCAAAATAGAGGGTCTCTGATGCATCTTAAATAGCCTACACAACTTGTACACAAAAAGGTTTGGTTTGCAACAGAACTTCCAATGTCTGAGAAGTTACGGGCAGGATAGTGGATGCAATCTCCTTACAAGCACTCAGTTCCCCAGGCATTTCAGCCATCTGTGAAGGGCTACATAGTTAATTCTGTTTGTTAGATCAAGGATGTGGAAGCTGCGGCCTTCCAGACATTGCTGAATTACAGGTCCCATCATTCCTGACCATTGACCATGCTGGCTGGGGCTGATGGGACTCCAACAGCTTCCAGAGAACCACATGTTCCTCACTCCTGGATTAGAAGATGCATAGTCCATATGAAAAGTACTCAAATAGCATGGTTGCATTTTTCCTGAATCCTGCTGCAAAACTCATACATGAATCAAGTTTTCCCTAGTGAACTTACGCAGAAGATGTTACTGGCAGTTTGTATCTGATGCAATCGATCCAGAATCTGTCTTGGGTATCATCATCGTATGATGTTAAACAGAGGCTGAAAGAGAAATCCAATCTCTGCATAATTCTGAAATGAGAGAGAAATGGGAGTGTGGGAGTGAAGCTAATTACACAATGCTGTCATCACTGAATAATATGATATGAAACATGTTGGCATCTTCAGCAAGAGAAGACAATCAATTCATTTCTCCACCAGACAGCGATATATTTAGATCAATGGCTTGTCATAAGTATGATACCTTTAGATCTGACCACATGCTCAGCCTCTTCAATTGACCTTGATTCTATGGACTCCACCATTGACTGCATAGTGATGTCAGACTAAGGGCTACAAGGAACTCCACACCGAGTGAAAATGATGAAGATTGCAATCTGAGAGGAAGCCCCATTGAACTCTATACATATGTATAAGATTGCACTGTAAGGCTCTGTCTAGAACAGGCCTGCACAACTTGTGCCTCTCAAAGCTGTTAGCTGATAATAATAATTGTATTGTTCATATGCCGCCCATCCGACTGGGTTCCTCCAGCCACTCTGGGTGGCTCCCAACAGATTACAGTGGTACCTCAGGTTAAGTACTTAATTCGTTCCGGAGGTCCGTACTTAACCTGAAACTGTTCTTAACCTGAAGACCACTTTAGCTAATGAGGCCTCCTGCTGCTGCCGGGCCGCCGGAGCACAATTTCTGTTCTCATCCTGAAGCAAAGTTCTTAACCTGAAGCACTATTTCTGGGTTAGCAGACTCTGTAACCTGAAGCGTATGTAACCTGAAGCGTATGTAACCCGAGGTACCACTGTATTAAAGACATCATAAAACATCAAACATTAAAAACTTCTCTGAACAGGTTAATGATGTTCCTTCCCACCAATACACCGGAATGACCTTCACAAGCAGCCATCAATAATGGCCCATCAGTGACTAGATAAACCTGCTCTGGTTTCTCACCTAGGGAACTGTCAGACTTCTGGTGCAACTGGAGGGGGCCGGCCCCCTCAAGAAGAAAACAACATTGGGGCCCTCAAAGTGCCTCAGTCCCTCGGAGCTGGTGCCTATGGGCACCAAGGACTTTCTTCTTTTCACTGAGCATTTTATTTCTGCTGGTTTAATTTTTTTTTTTTATACTGTCATATTTTTATGCTGGAAGAGCCAATATCGTTTTAAGTGTATTTCGTATTGTTTTATGCCTTGAAAGGATTTGTGCCCTGAAAGGTGGTATATAAGTGATTCTAATAATAAAACACAATAGAGAGGGAACTTTAAGAATAAAAATAAAAATGCCAGGCTCTGTTTCACATGCATCCTGGCGTGTGAGGAAGGCCTAAGCTGACCATGCTCAAGGAGAATACCTTTACAAAAGAATGGCTTGACTTCAAAAGACAGATTGGATGCAGAGAGAGGTTGTTATTTTTGTTTTAAAGACAGCCATGCCAATTCTGTCTTAAACTGTGAAAATTGTCTATAAAAATGGACTATTTTACAACCACATGAATCTGTTCAGTTCTGCTGAGAGGCAAAGTGTAGCAAAACAAAGGTGCTATATTTTAATTGGATTGGTTTCAGTTAATGCATGTGTGCAAGTTTGTGCTAGCAAAACTTGCAACACCCAACAGAGGTGGGTCTTATAGTAGATGTCATTTTGCCTACTTATTTTTTTGCTATCGTTCTAAACAATAATCTTGATAAAAGAATAGTTCTTTTCATTGTTATAAAGGGAATGCATTGTATATTACTCTGCCAAGCTTGCTGCAACAATTGATACTGAAATTCAGAAACAAGACTGTGTGATACTGGTGAGGCAGACGTCATAGGGCTTTCTACTTGATTTTTAGGTTTCAGAACTGATCATTCTTGATCGTTAAAGGGTTAGGTTGTGACAGGCAGAGATCCCTTTCCCATTATTTATCTTCAGACTACGGATGGGTGAAACTCTGATTTTGGTTTCTCATTTATCCAACTTTAAGTTTTTTCCCCAGTTTGAGAATTTGCTAAAAGCAATTTTGTGCATTTTCCACCCTAGTATACCACGTTTTATGCAAATTTGTCAAA